GTGAATACTCTAATCACAATGGAGGGACGGACCGGCGACCACCGCCGGAGCATGGAGGTTCACAAAGTGCTGCGCCTGCCACGAATTCTGGTGACGTCTCGGTGCGTGTTGTCACAAAGTGCTGCGCCTGCCACAAATTCTGCACGTGGAGGTTCACAAAGTGCTGCGCCTGCCACGAATTCTGCACGTGGAGGTTCACAAAGTGCTGCGCCTGCCACGAATTCTGCACGTCAACAAACAAGTGAATACTCTAATCTAATCACAATGGAGGGACGGACCGGCGACCACCGCCGACAACGCAACACCCACAGCCTCTAACGGAGCATGGAGGTTCACAAAGTGCTGCGCCTGCCACGAATTCTGGAGACGTCTCGGTGTGTGTTGTCACAAAGTGCTGCGCCTGCCACGCAATCTGCACATGATCTCTTGTCTCGGTGTGTGTGATCTCTGTGTGTGTGATCTCTGTCTGTGTCGTCTCGGTGTGTGTCGTCTCTGTGTGTGTGTGTTGTCTCGGTGTGTGTGATCTCTGTGTGTGTGATGTGTGTTGTCCTGTGTTGTCTCTGTGTGTGTGTGTGTGTTGTCTCTGTGTGTGTTGTTGTCTCGGTGTGGAGGGAGGCGGCGGGAGGCGGATGAGACATAGAAAAGAAGAACCCCACACTAAGATGTGGGGAAAAAAGCTTGTGACAGACTTGCAAATCGCCAAGAAACACCTAAGAGGTCAGGAACTGCCGTGGGCCACCGTCCCTTCTTGGCACCCTGCCGCAACGCGTCATCGATCCAAGCAGTAGCGCTATTCGGTCGGGAGCGATCCCTTAGAAAGCTGGGAGCTGTTCACACCCATGCCGTCATGCAACCGTTTTCTCGCCATAGGTCTTAGTCTTTGACTTGACTAGTTTGTGCATCTTACATTTTCTTACCACTTATGCCACTTTACTCTCTTGACAAGAAGCCCTTGAGCAATAATGCCTCCAACAAAACCCTGCGGTAAAAAAGGAGCTTGTAATTATGTTAAGGCAGCGGCATGGGAGGAGCTTCTTCCAGCAACTGAACAAAGCCGTCGGCTTGCTTAAGGCAAGACTTTCCATGTCACGCCCCATGCGTTGTTCCAAGTGACCCAATGTAGCCACCCAACACTGTGCGAATGGTTCCTGGGGACCTGGAAGAAGCTCAATACAATCTTGGGTGGACAAGGGAAAAGCAAATGTTGGAAGTGTTTTACACAGCATTGCCGGAAATCTGATGTCTGTTATCGGAACTATCACTTGCATCTGGCTTCGATCCAAACATCAAGCTGTGTGTGTGTGGTCTGATATTAAATATTTGCACCAAGCTGCCCAACTCCCAAAAGCATAAGGAAAACTCCTCAGACGAGCACTAGCCGGAGCTCACTCACAGACTCTCGTGGCACCACACCCTGACCGACGCACACGAAGCAAACTCTCAAAGTATTGTTGTGTTGTTCTGGCTGGCGCTGTTATCAAAAATGACCAATGCTTTAAAGTGCAATTCTTCCTGCAATTTGCTGCCAGTGTGCGAAGATATGGATTCAGTTGCTCTGAGTACTGTGGCAAAGCGCCACGGCTGAAGCAAAGCGCCGAATAGCAGCTAGCCCTCACGGGTTGTGGTCAATGCAGACACTAACAAATGCTGCACCACATGAACCTATGTGATATTACTTCTGCTCATGGCTGCTTAGCCTTGAAGAGACAGATGCGCACAGCGGCCAAGCTGATCCAGCCTTGCATCAGTGTAGATTTTGACATCAGCAGGCAGCTCCAACATCTCGGCAAATTTGGCACCAGAGCTTTGGGAGCCAATACCAACCAAGCAAATAGAAGACGCATCAAGCCGCTTTGCCTGGAAACAGCACTGTGGACATGATTGGATAATGTTATCATTGCACAGAATTCCGGAGTTTGTCATGTCCACTTGCATATACAGTAGAAACTGCTGACCTGGATCGCCGTGCGGACTTGCTGCGCAACTTCCCAGGAGTTGAAATCTCCCCAGTGAGTGAGGAAAAAAATGCCGGAGCGCGTCGTTAGCAGCTTCGATGCTTCCTGGGGGCAGAAACCCATGTATACACCGCTGTGTATATGAAATCAGCCAACATGTGTAGAACTTAACAAAGGAAGTGAAATTTGTACGCATTCACGTTCCAGCATAGCTTTCCAGGAAGAGACCGCCATGCATTCATGGAAAAGAAAATTCAAACATCCTATTTTTCAGATTCCAATTCAAAGCCAAGGCTCCACAGTCTCCCCACTGCGAATATCCTTGCAGGCATCGACATGGAGGAGTGGATGACATCGCTGTCATTGCTCGGGTTCCATTCCCTTTTTTAGCCCCCCCTTACTTAATTAAGCAGGCGCCTACTTAATTGAGCAGGGGACAACTTGTACCTAGTTATATACTACATATGGACGCAGGATAGCTCAGGGTTCCTAGATTTTTAGGGTTCATGCATACGGCAACATGGTCAAATGGATGGCATCGCTTGATATGACAAAATCGTCGAGAACTTGGAATCTATCTACACTTCACGAGCAAGAATCTCTGATGGTTATAGGCTATAGGCATTTCAGCCGGAACAGTTGTATTTCCACATCACAACAGCACGCTGCCAAGCCTGCAAGGAGCAGCTCGCCAAAGCTTCTGCTACTGGCTTGCCAATCTCCTCAACAAATCATTGGTGTGACACATAGGGGGGTATGTAGTGGACTTCCGCAGCACATCAGAAAAGTGAGAATTCTTAATTAGTTTCTTGGTCGGGGTCAAAGCGTGCCTAGCTGCCAATTCAATCCGCTGAATCCCTGAATATGTGTTTCAAGTTGCGCGTTTCAGTTGTGCTATTCTGGTATTCATCACGTCCCAACCACCGTGCCCATCTTAGTTTCTACGCACTCCTTGAGGCCCGGAGCGGTGGCATCTGTGGATTCCTCAGGAGGCCCCTTGAAAATGTCCAACAAAGCCACTGCCACAGCACCGGCGATTTCCAACCAGGGAGTCTCCTCCATTCGGATCAGCACTGAGAAGAGCTCACAAACAAACTCACCGCACTCTGCTGACCTTTGGTCGAGTTCTTTGTGATCCAAGCAAACATGGGGCACGCTTCGGTTTGGTCTGGAGGTACATGGCACATGACCAATATGCAAGTGGAGCAACTGCTTCCTGTCTTGAGGCTTAGGATAACATCCTGAGCCAATGTTCGACTTTTGTGGAGGACTGCGTTAGTCTAGGGATGGACAAACCTTGTCCATTATTGTATATATATATACACATATTTGTATGTACATACATACCACCAGGAAGAATCTTCATCAAACAGCATTCCACTTATATACAAGGAGTGCTACAGTACAATCTCACGTGTGGATCTTGATGACTGTCAAGCACAAGATAATTTGCATCAAAAGGACAATAGTCCCAGCGACCTGCAGGTGTTCCTTTTGCACTATATATTCCTCCAAGTGAAAGACCACAAAAGAGTCTTTCAGGAGAACAACAGTAAACAGGAGAGGGATGATCATATTAATCATGAATATCGACATATATTTAGTAAAAGTGTCAAATGTATATATCATAATCAGCTGTTCCCAAATTCATTTGGCACCTTCTCCACTGTCCGCGAGGACTCGGCACGCACAGCGATGCGACGGTACTTGCGGTCACGCCGGCTGTGCTGAACCGCCACGGCGACGGCAGCTGTTGCGAAACAGTGGAGCCTCGGCTCAAGGTCTGCCAGGGGGGTTCGCGGTAAGGTTGAAACATGTTTTTACAAAAAAATCCAACCTGCGGCGCTTTGCTTTCGTTCCTCGCGCTCGGGCCAATGACTCGAAGGGCTGTGGGGTGCAGATGTTCGGTGCGTCAGATCGAGGCCAGTCGAGTCACTGCAATCAAAAACAATATCTAAAGAAAACACAACACATCCTAGAAGCCATTGACCATTTGGAACTTGACGATGGTGTGCCGTTAGGCAAATACATCCTGCTAGAGAAGCGGGCTTTTGCTCAAAGAATGCCAACGTTGATTGACATCTTTGAAGCGGATGACTTTAGGTGAGCCATGCCAATAATTCGACCCTCAGCCAATTTGGCTTGGACGCCCTGCAGCTCCAGTTCGCCGACATGGAGTCCGAGCCAGAACTGGATGTGACGGCAAATGCAGTGGACCCCGAGGGCCCTGAGGGCCGCGTGCCAGTGCCATCGCCATCGCCAAGCAGAGATGCAAATCCTGGAACGTTCTTTCATGCGAGCTGCCAATGTGGCACTTGGCTGCAGTGGCTACAAAATGAACTTTGCCATATGATGGATGTCAAGTTCGATTGATGGCAAGGAGGTAGTGACGCTTGTGTCACTGGACGCCACTTCAGTATTGGTCCAGGACGGCTGAATCTGCTAGACTGTTGGAGGTACTGCGTGTAGGCATAGCAAAATGGTATAGTACAGTGCAGTGATTTGTAGTGCTGGCAAAGGCACCCGTCTTGTGATCAATGATAGTTTGCCCGGTTTCATGTGCATGCAAAGGCAAACCAAAATGGCTGCAAAAGAAAGAGCACATGAGACATGAGAACACCAAAGCTCCATAATCATTTGGATATTATTGCAAGTACTGTTACAATTACTGTAACTATATAAATGTCACTTGGTTACAACCTGCCTAGACACGCATGTGTCTAGGTATGTCAGCAAAACTTTCAGTCTGCACAACGGACATTCGGGATGTGTTCTGAACAAACTGCAATCATCAAGGTTGGATATGATACAATATTTTACATTAAAATGCCATGAAAGAAAAACCCAGTCCAGGCAGCTGTCTGGATCATCTGTGATCTCTTCCGTCTGTGTCTCCACAGAGACACAGGGCTTGGTTTGTGAGGTCACCTGAAAGGCAAATTAAGCTTGTCATGTTCGATCATCCAAGACTTCAACCTCTAAGAACATCTCCTCAAAGATCTTCATTTGCGAGCAAATGAAGGCACAATCAAGCATGTACGCATATATATAACTGTCTGTTGTCTAAAGGCCTCAAGTTCCCGCTGCAACTCTTCCATTGTCTCACCTTCAACCTGCAAGAGGAAACTTGGGTGACAGGTTCGTGTGCTCTCATGACTCTCACGCTGTAACCTCTCTGGTCTCTCAAACATGCACTGACTTGAGGACCATATGGTCCTATTCAACAAGCTCAAAACATGAACTTCATCTTAAGCTGCCAAAAGGCTTGTGGGAATTTGCGTGTGTGTGTCCACCTCTGTAACTAAGAGTTTCTGTTCTTCTCAACTGTTAAGTCGCAGGGGGCGTGACGGTCGATTTCCTAGTCACGCCAACGAAACTAGGGAAATCGACTGGATGGAAGTTTGGACGCAAACTTCTGTACCTGCGCGGATGAAAACTTTTGCACACGCTGTGACTCCACTTTTCCTTTTGTTGTTTCCATGGTGGTTGTTCGCATGATATCCCCCAAAACAGGTTTCCTTAGCTTTGGTAAAGTGCTAGTGCGTTTGTTAAGCAGTTCTGTTCTTCGGACCCTTGCACCTTACCGTTCTTGCAGTAAAGGGCTAATGCAGTAACTAGCTTCCGCAGTCAAGTGAACAACCCCTTTGTTAAAACACCTTCAAGTGCTCCGACTCTTTCACCTTTCGGTTCCATCGCCATTTTTCCTGGGAATTGAGTTAACTGCAAACCAATGTCAGAGTGTGACTCGCTCAGTCGTCCCACTTGGGTGCTGGGTGTGATCCTCCGCAAGGAGGCGCTGCTTTCATTCCGGAAATCGTGTAACTGACTCCACACCTCTCTTTGGATTTTCTTAATCGCTTTAGTTTCACTACTGGGTTTACTGAATTTGATGCCGTCGGGCTTACGAGATTCCTCCACTTGCATGTACATGTGCTGCATTTCCATGTGAGGAATTGAGACCAGTGAAGCTACTGTCCACACTTGCACTTCCACCCCCCCCACCTTGCAACCTAATTCGTGTTTCTATCCCGCCCGCTATCTAGGGTAACAGAAGGAAATGGTACTCGACACACTTGTGTGTCGGTACCTTTCCTTCTGTTTCTCCTTTTCTACTCCTAGCTACCCGGGCGGTTTAAGACGTATGTCCCGCTCGCTAACTACTGCATTTAATTCATTCGGCTAAGTAGTCAGTAACTAGCAGGTTTCGTAACTAGTGGGCCTTGTCACTACACCTATCTTTCTCTCTTTCCTTTGCGTTTTCCTTTCTGTCTTTCTTTCCTTTCGTTCTAAGGCTTTTAGGTGATTAGTAAGTTCCCCCAGAGCGCCGATATCGGCGTTCTGTGTGCGTCCACCTCTGTATCTAAGAGTTTCTGTTCTTCTCAACTGTTCAGTCGCAGGGGGCGTGACGGTCGATTTCCTAGTCACGCCAACGAAGCTAGGGAAATCGACTGGATGGAAGTTTGGACGCAAACTTCTGTACCTGCGCGGATGAAAACTTTTGCACACGCTGTGACTCCACTTTTCCTTTTGTTGTTTCCATGGTGGTTGTTCGCATGATATCCCCCAAAACAGGTTTCCTTAGCTTTGGTAAAGTGCTAGTGCGTGTGTTAAACAGTTCTGTTCTTCGGACCCTTGCACCTTACCGTTCTTGCAGTAAAGGGCTAATGCAGTAACTAGCTTCCGCAGTCAAGTGAACAACCCCTTTGTTAAAACACCTTCAAGTGCTCCGACTCTTTCACCTTTCGGTTCCATCGCCATTTTTCCTGGGAATTGAGTTAACTGCAAACCAATGTCAGAGTGTGAGCTACTGACAGTGTGGCACTTGCGCAGGTGACAATAGATGATCTCAAATGTAACACCTTCTGTCTCCCTGACCAAAGGGTGGAATGGTCAGGCCTTAAAGGCGAGTATGTTGCCACAAAGAAGCTAGAAACTAACCCTTTAGAGTGTTGTCCAGCACGTTTTTTCAAGTTGTCTTCAAAGTGTGTTTCATCCTCGAGGATGTTGACAAGACAATTCAATCCCCTACCTCCACCCAGCTGCTGGGCTTTCTTGGCCAGCCTCAAACCATTCTAGGCGAGTGTCCTTCCTGGAGTAACTCAATGATAGCAACCCATTTTGCACCCAAGTCCTCAATAATACTAGACTATATATATATATATGACTATATATATTATGTACTGGTTATTGTTGAATGGTTTGCACTGTTTGCTTGAAAGTCTCAATCTGTTGAATCCGTCCTGTCCCCCTTGCTTTGGGTGATGGTTTGGGAGCCTCGCAAAATCTCCCAGAAAAAACGGACCCACAAAACCACACCAGGTTTGGACACTGAACAATGTTCGCTAGTAGAAACAAGTGCATCGCTACTAGAAACAAGTGCCTTACTAGTAGTAACAA